GCCGGAGTGACCCCCGTCTACTGCGTCGGGTGCAAGCAAGCCCTGAGGCTTAAGGCCCCGGGCTGGGACCCGGAGAGAGGGTGGGACCAGGTCCCCCTCCCTCCCCCGAAGGAGCATACAGCTCTGGACAACTTTAACATAGACCCGTCATAGAACTAGGACCCCGAGTGGGAGCGAGCTTGGACTGGGGGGCTCGGGCCCCCACCCTGAAGGGACGGGTGACACTTGGTGGGTTCGCTGATCCCCCCTTCCTGCCGGGGAGGGGGTGATCGCACCCGATTGCCCAGGCTCCCGAGCGGGGGTCCGGGGCATGAGATAGACGGAAAGAGGATGCAGGGGTCCACCGAGCTCCCCTCCCCCGCTGGGAGGGGGTGATCGCACCCCGAACCCCTCACAACCACCAAAAAGAAAATCCATCTTTTACTGGGTGACATCTGACTCAGATGATGACAATGAACATGTGTTGGTATACTTACCTTTGGACTATAATCGAGCAGAACCCGTGATCAGCATGGATACATGTTCTCTGAAATGGTAGTTGAAGCATGAAGGGACATATAAATATTTACCACAGCTGGCACATAAATACTTTGTGATGCCGGCTACAACAATTCCATGAAAATGCCCACTCTCACTTTCAGGGGACATTGTAAACAAAAAGCAGGCAGCATTATCTTCTGCAGATTGTAACTCATATTTAAGTGACAAGCTGAACAAGTAGGACTGAGAGGACTTGTAGTCTCTAATATTTTGCACTACTTTCTTGTTGAAAGCAGGGGTTTTTTTATACATAATTCTACATTTGTAAGTTAAACTTTCATGGAAAAGAAACTGCACTATAATACTTGCAGTAGGTGAACTGAAAAAACATGGTTACTTACCTGTAACTGTTGTTCTTCGAGATGTGTTGCTCATGTCCATTTGAACGAAGTGGTGTGCGTGCCACATGCACGGTTCCCGGAGCGTTTTTTCCCCAGCGGTACCCGTCAGGCTAGCAGGTTGCCCCCTTGAGTGGTGCCACTATAGCAGAGTATAAGTTCCCCTGCCGGCCTTCCCCCTCCTCAGTTCCTTCTTGCCGAAGACTCCGACATAGAGGAGGTGGGGGGGAATCTAATGGACATGAGCAACACATCTCAAAGAACAACAGTTACAGGTAAGTAACCATCTTTTCTTCTTCGAGTGGTTGCTCATGTCCATTCGAACGAGGTGACTCCCAAGCTGAAACCAACGCAGGTGGGGGTCGGAGACATGTCTAGCAAGACACACACACACACACACACCCACACCCACACCCACCCACCCCCCAACGTGGAACACCAACCATAACTTTATTCCACATAAGAACAAGACCAAATGAGAAATGCAGGTGAAATATATACAGAACTACATACCACGACAAACCCTTTTGTTCTGTTTTCTTTACAGGACTGTACCAAGAACAGCAGAGCCCAAAGCGGCATCATCCCTGGCCTGTTGGGTGAGTGCATAATGCACTGTAAACGTGTGAACGGAGGACCATGTGACCGCTCTACAAATTTCAAGTATTGGAACTTGTGCCCCAAAGGCCACAGAGGACGCATGCGCCCTAGTGGAGTGTGCCTTAAACTGAGGCAGTTCCCTATGCACTAGGTCATAACACTCTCGAATACACAAGGAGATCCACACAGACAACCTTTGGGCCGATTGCGGCCGCCCCTTCATTCTGTCTGCATAAGCAATAAACAACTGTGATGATTTACAAAACGGCTTCATTCTGTCCATATAAAAGGCTAGTGCCTTTTTGCATCAAGCGTATGTAATGCCTGCTACTTAGGGGAGCGGTGTGGCTTTGGTAAGAAAATGTGTAAATAAATGTCCTGAGACATATGGAAAACCGACACCATCTTGGGGAGGAACGCCGGGTGAGGGTGTAGTCTGACCCTGTCCTCTGAAAACACCAAATACTGTGCCATCGTGAGAGGGGACAGCGTCAGGTCGCACACCATGGTCACTATAACCTGGAACCTGGCTTCGGGGAGGTAAGCCCGCCTCTTCCTGGCATCCAGGTAGGCCCGCATGAACTTTGTGTCCTGAGAAGGGCTCAACTTTGACTTTTCCTCATTTATCATGAGTTCGAGCTTTCTGAAGAGGGCCCTTGTAAGCCTTATATGTGCCACCACCTGGTCTCTGGACTGCCTACGGATGAGCCAGTCATCCAGGTATGGAAAGACTTGGACTCCATGTCTCCAGAGGCATGCCACCGCCACACACTTGGTAAAGACTCTGGGTGCTGTTGAAAGCCCAAAGGGAAGGACAGTGAACTGGAAGTGGCGGTGGGACACAACAAAACGAAGGAACCTCCTGTGGCTTGGCCGTATTACCACATGAAAGTAAGCGTCCTTCAAATCGAGGGCCGCGTACCAATCTCCCAATTCTAAATCTGGAATAATGGAGGCTAGGGTCACCATCCTGAACTTTCCCTTTCTTATCTCTTTCTTGATGCCCCTGAGGTCCAGGATAGGCTGAAGCCCCCCTTTTGGTTTGGGGATGATAAAATACCGGGAGTAAAACCCCTTGCCCTCTAGGTGGGAAGGGACCCTTTCCACCGTTCCTTTCTGTAGGAGTGAGAGGACCTCCTGACGCAGGAGGGCCTCGTGAGATGGGTCCCTGAGGAGGGACCGGGGTGTGGGGAGGGAAGGAGAAGAACTCAAAAAGGGGATGGAATACCCCATCCTTACCACACCGAGCACCCACCTGGGCAAAATGGGATAAACGGTCTCCAAAGGACGGGAAGATAGTGGAAACTGGTACTCGGCCCTCGGGCACCCCTTCAAAGTGGCTGCTTAGGCTGTTGGGAAGGGGGCTGACCAGGGTCTGTGCGTGGCCGGCAGTGTCTATTACGGCCCGCAGCGGTGCCTGCTGCACTACCGAAACCCCCATTGGGGCCTCCAGTAGTCCGACTGCAAGGCCTGGAACTACTGCCTATTCAGGAGCTGCTTCTGCTGGGGCACCGGAGTGTGAATACCGACCGACCTCAGCGTTGACCTTGTATTCTTTAGACTATGCAGCCTGGTGTCCGTGTTCTCTGAAAACTGGGCCTTTCCATCAAAGGGCAAGTCCTGAATTGTGGACTGCACGTCTGCTGGGATCCCCGACACCTGGAACCAGGCACCACGACGCATGACCATATCAGACGCCATGTTCCTAGCCGCCGAGTCCACCGCATCGAGGGAGGCTTGCAGGGCTGTACGGGCTATGGTCCTACCCTCCGTAGTCAGAGCCACGCATTCCAGCCTAGCATCCTGAGGCAGCCTGTCGCGGAACTTATTCATCACCTGCCAGGTGTTACAGGCATAGCAACTGAGCCTCGCCTGCTGATTGGCAATGTGCAATTTGAACACCACCAGTCGCATAGACCTTGTGCCCTAACAAGTCCATGCGTTTAGGCTCCCTGACCTTGAGTGTTGGTCCCGGCTGCCCTGCCTTTCCTTCTGCGCTGCCGCTTGGACCACCAGCGAACCTGGGACCAGGTGAGAATAGAGGTGTTCATGTTCCTACTGAGGGATGTAGTCCCTCCTCTCGACCCCCTTGAGAGTAGGGGTTATGGATGCCGGGGTCTGCCACAGGGTGTTTGTGATTTTAGCCATAGCCTGATTGAGTGGCAGGGCTAACTTGGCAGGGGCATTCTCAGTGAGGATATCAACCACAGGGTCGGATTCCTCAGTCACCAGCTCAACCGGCACCCCCAGGTTAGCTGCCAGCCTAAGTAGCAGCTCTTGATAGGACCTGGCATCCACTGCGGGCATAGTTGGGGCTGGGTCCTCCAAGGCCTCGTCGGGGGATGACAACAAAGAGGATTCCCGAACTAGTGCCGGGACTTCTACCATCCCTAGCGTGTGTGTGGGGGAGCCAGTGGATGCACGTCCCCTAACTCGCCCTGCCTCTGCGGACTGGCACCCCTGGAGGATGGAGGGGCCCTGGACAGCGAGGCCGCCGTACGTGAGGGTGGCATTGGGCTCTGCCACTGATGGTAGGCCCAGGGCTTTCAAAAAGGCCAGAGTTGCTGAGCCTGTGGGGGCCACATTTGTTGGAAATCCTGCAGTACCGTCCGGTGCCGAGAACGGGAACGGTACCAAGATGAGACCTGGGACAAGCTTGCAGAGTGCAAGGACTCTGCCTCAGACTCTGAAGATTGCCCTGAAACAAACCGAGGCCTGTATCTGACCATGGAGTCTGGTTTCCCCGCGTGGGGACGGACCTGCGGTGGCAGCAACTGCAGTGGTGCCAGTGCCGAGGTCGTCATTGCCGGCGCCTGGGTCGTCATCGCAGGTGCCGCGGTTGCCATCGCTGGTGCCCCGACAGGGACTAGCGATACCAATGCCATCGGTGCAGGTTTTGGTACAGGAGCCTGTGTTGAAGCCTGTGCCAGTGCCCCCACGGGTGCCAGAGTGAGAGCCCAAGTCGACCCAGGTATTGGAAGTGGCGCCCCCCACGCTGCTGTAGGGCGGGGACCCCCAGCGCCCTAATCACCTCCATCGGTGCCGGCGCAAGTTGGGCGGCCACAGATGATGCCAGCAAAGATGTCTGTGCCCCTGCCATACCAGTGCCAACCAGGCTCCCGGTGAAATAGAAGCTACTGGTGCCCCTGTCACCCCTGGTGTCGATGACAACAATCCCCCCGACGGGGGGGTGACGGAGGCAAGGCTGTCAGCTCGATAAGATCGTGAGCTGCCTCGAATATCTCCAGCGTCAAGGGGCGTTGTGTCAGAATCGGGCCCGGGCTCCATACCTGGTGCGGGCCAGTCCTCTTCCCCTGCGCACCCCTATGACTGGTGCCCAGAGAGTCCGGTCCCGAGGAACGCCGGTGCCGGTCCTCATGGGCCTTACGGCCGGGTGATCTCCCCCTGGAGTCCTTCACCCTCTTCGGAGCCAGGGACTGCGAACGGTGCATTGCTGCCTACAATTTCAGCACCCTGGAATGGGAGGAGCCTGGATGCGGCTCCTGCACCGAAGCCGGCGCACTGCGAACCGAGGCGTCCCTAGACAGTGCCGGATGAAGCACTGATTCCATTAATATCAGTTTTAAGTGGGAATCCCTTTCCCGCTTGGTACAGGGCTTGAACCCTCAGCAAATCTTACACGAGTCTGTAAGGTGGCACTCTCCCAGACACTTAAGACAAGGGTCGTGGGGGTCACCCTTAGGCATCGGTTTAGCACAGGATGCACAAGATTTAAAGCCTTGTAGGCCTGGCATCTCCGTCCCCCAGCAGAGGGAAGGGGAGAAAGAGATAAGAACTATCTAACTAAGTGTCTAACAACTACAACTACTCAAACAAACAATAAGACACTGCCAACGGGCAAACAAACGACTCTAGCTGGGATTTGGAAGACAGCAAGCTCCAACAACCATCATGGGCAGTAAGAATGAACTGAGGAGGGGGAGGGCCGGCAGGGGTACTTATGCTCCGCTATAGGAGGCGCCACTACAGGAGGCGACCTGCCAGCCCAACGGGTACTGCTGGGGAAAAAGAGCTCCAGGAACCGTGCACGCGGTACGCCCACCACCTCGTTCGAATGGACATGAGCAACCACTCGAAGAAGAAATACTATTTCTTTTGTTTTTTTAAATGTAAATTTTTGTAATAAAAATAAGTATAAAGTGGGTGCTGTACACTTTGTATTCTGTATTATAATTCAATAAATATATTTGAAAATGTAAAATAATAAAAAAATATTTACATAAATGGCATTCTATTAAAAGAATAATAGATTAATAGGATTGGAAGGGACCTCAAGAGATCATCGAGGCCAGTCCTCTGCACTCATGGTAGGACCAAGCACCATCCTAGACCATCCCTGACAGGAGTCTGTCTACCTTGCTCTTAAATATTTCCAATCATGGAGATGCCACCACCTTCCTAGGCAATTTATCCCAATGCTTAACTACTCTGATAATTAAGAAGTTTTTCCTACTGTCTAACCTAAACCTCCTTTGCTGCAATTTAGATGATTTAATAGCACAATTGTGTGATTAATCACTATTAATTTGAAATACCTGACAGCCCTAAAATTTACTGAAGTGTTGTTTGTAGATTGTGTAGGCTGAACTTATCACACACAAAGCGGGTCTTTGCATTCCTCCATTCCCTCCCCCACAAGCTGTCTGTATGCCTTCCATCCCATTGCCTTCTTTTTCAGGGAATCCTTGCAATTCACCCCAATTTCTTCCCTGCGATGGTTTGTGGGCCCCTCCATTCCCTTCTCTTCTCATACCAGGACCCCTTTTTATCTCCCCATATCAGCAGCTCAGCGTACACCCTATTACCCTCTTTCCTCCAAACTCCATTCCCAGTACCAGGGTCCTCCAATCAACCCTCCCCCCACCATGAGTTCTTATGTGCCACCCATTCCACATCTTCCATGCTAGAGACTATTGGGAGTCCGTCATTCTGCCCATCAAGCCAGGGGCCATGAGTACTCTTATTCCCCATCTTCCCTGGAACCCTCAAACTTCCCCCACCAAGGGTCCTGTGGCCACCAATTCTCCCTCCCCTATTTCCGGATCCCCAAATCTCCATCCCCAACCAAGGTTTCCTGTGTGCTCTTTTCTCCTCTTCTTCCACGAGGGTCCCCCATTTTCCTCTAGCATTCCAGCAGGGGTGTGTCTCTCAGTTCCCACCGTTTCCCTTTCTACATGAATTTCTATATAGAAGAGACATCATGCAGCTTGGCAAAGTGTTACACCATTGGGAGGATAAGCTGATATGAACATGGGTAAAGTGTTCCTCGAAACCATGAACTAGCTCTGTGATCTGCAGATAACTACAGACATGCTAGAGGCTGTGGCTAAAGAGATGTCAGGGGTTCTTTTATTCACCATTCTCCCCCCGTCTGGTTTTCTGCTCTTCCCCAAGTTTAAATAGGGGCATGATAACTGATGCCTAAAACAATGCCTGAAATTTTAGAATTAACTGGATGGAGTGTTCGAAAGTGATCCCATTACACTTGTACAAAGAAATGCCATGGAGTTGAGTGTGGGGGTTTGCAAGCAGAGTGCCAAATTATTACAGCAATGGACACTTTAGAAATGCTTACAATAAACGTAAATATCACATTCACTTTTCACTGACACAGTGATACAAACTAACAAACCAGAAATCGAAACTTGAAGGGTTGGGTAAGATGCCACATACCTCTCACATACGCACAGACCTTTTTATCCTACCTACCTAAAAGTGAATGAGGATGGCAAACAAGAGGAGTCTCAAATGTTAGAGAGTAAACACAAGTACTCGGCTCAGACACGTGAGCCAATTTATTGTTTTTTCCACAAATAAGAAGAACCTGAAGAGCAGAAAAAGAAGGATGAGGGGAAAATGATTAAACACACAATACAGTCACTAGTGTCATGTTGCACAGAACCAACATATGTCACTAACTTCCCTCGCACCATGCACCACAGACGCAGCAAGTACTGTAGTCAGTAGGCTCTCGGTATGGCCATCATTTTACCAAGTGCAGAAGAAAGAGGTCACATCACATCATCAATCATCATCATCTCAGCGCCCTTTGATGTCCGATGTCTCCCTCACTATTTCCTTCCATCTTTCCCTGTCCAGTGTGGAGTGGCTTAGTTTCTATAGACTCAAAGCCACTAGTTAAGTCTTTTTCAAATTATTTTAAAGCATGGAACAAATGTGTTCTTTACCCAATGGGAAGTGCTTCCACCCATGTACCCTTCACTACAAATTCCAAGAGACATACGTTAAATTAGATGCTTTTAAAGAAAACTTAGTTTGATAGTATTTCATCTGGCAAGAAACTACTTATCAACAGTTGGGGTTGTGAAATCCTCATTCCTTTATTGTTCTATTATTGTTATATTGTTTGTCTGTCTGGTTGCTGGGTGGTGTTTGGGTTTTTTTGGTTTTAATTGTTCTGGCTGCTGCATAATTAATTTCGCTGTGTGTCAATCAATTAATGTGGTGAAACACAATTGATTAGGGAATTATGTTACAATATGGTAGGATTGGTTAGCAAAAGTATAGTACAATAATTGGTTAAGGTATAACTAAGCAGGACTCCAGTGTCACTATATAAACTGGAGTCCAAAAGGAAGTTCTTTGGGAGCCAACTCCAGGGCACAGCTCCAAGATCAGAGGAGCCAGACCTCAATCCTGTGCCAATGAGGCTGTAGAAATTGGAGTCCCCCAGAGGGACCTGACCCTGACTAGCAATCAATACAAGTTTGCCTGCCTTATTAGGAGTGGTGAGCAGTGCATGTTTAGTGTGATTTGGTGCATATTTAGCATGTTGGTTTGGTGATTGTTAATAAATAGAGGATAAGTAGGATATTACTGTGTAAAGCTCTTTCGCTAACAAAAGACCCCCACAAACTCACAGAGCGTAAGGTTATGTCTGAGCCCTAAATATGGATAAGGAGTGGGTGCCTATACTCAGAGGGTTATACCTGAGCCCTAGAAACTGGTAAAGGTGGGTGCCCCTAGAGTTTGTGAATGACAGAATTTTGAGCAGGTAACAACAGTGCATTGGAAAAGGTCAGAAAACTTGATTCTATTTATGGCTCTCCAATAGGATTCTTCTTGTGACTTGGCCAAGTCACATCACTCCCTTCATCACTTTCTCATTGATGAACCCATCTATCATTAGGGCTTTACACAGCTGCCAGCAACATAGTATATAAGTTCTTCCACATACAATCAAAAGCAATAGCTATTGTCTTAGAAAATAAAAACGATCATTCTGAGTCAGACCAAAGGTCCATCTAGCCCAGTATTTTGTTTTCCAACAGGCCAATGCCAAGTGCCCCAGAGGGAATGAACAGAACAGGTAATCATCAAGTGATTCATCCCCTGTTGTCCATTCCCAGTCCCTGACAAGCAGAGGCTAGGGACACCCTGCCCATCCTGGACAATAACCACTGAGGGACCTAACCTCCATTAATTTATCTATTTCTTTTTTGAACCGTGTTAAAGCCCTGGTTTTCACAACAACCTATGGCAAGGAGTTCCACATGTTGACTGTGCATTGCATAATGTCACATGTAATGTTGTAGGTCACAGAGGAATGTTAGACTCAATTCGGTAAAGCTCCTTAACATCTTCAAATGTAAGGACCTAGAGAAGTGCAAACATTCTTTTAGCAAGGGGAGAAGAAGTCCAAAGCAAAAGTTCTCAGATTTTTCATAGTATGGCCCATATCTTTAGAAAATCTTGTGGACACCTCCCTCCTGTTCACAATCATATAAAATCCCTTACAGTTACAACTATTCACATGTACAAGTCATGTATTAACTGTTTTTAATATATTTGACTTTTTGACAAAAGCTAATTATACTGTCTGTATTCACTCTTCATTTCACCTCCCACATCTGTTCTACTCCTCTCTCACCTGCACATGCTTTATGTTACTTGGCCCTCTACTTTTCTCATGCAAGTTTCTCTGCCACTGGGTTTCATAAGAACGGCCATACTGGGTCAGACCAAAGGTCCATCCAGCCCAGTATCCTGTCTGCCGACAGTGGCCAATGCCAGGTGTCTCAGAGGGAGTGAACCGAACACGTAATGATCAAGCGATCTCTCTCCTGCCATCCATCTCCACCCTCTGAGAAACAGAGGCTAGGAACACCATTCCTTACCCATCCTGGCTAATAGTCAGTAATGGACTTAACCTCCATGAATTTATCTAGCTCTTTTTTAAACCCTGTTATAGTCCTAGCCTTCACAATCTCCTCAAGTAAGGAGTTCCACAGGCTCACTGTGCGCAGTGTGATGAAGAACTTCCTTTTATTTGTTTTAAACCTGGTGCCCATTAATTTCATTTGGTGGCCCCTAGTTCTTATATTATGGGAACAAGTAAATAACTTTTCCTTATTCACTTTCTCCACACCCCTCATGACTTTATATACCTCTATCATATCCCCCCTTAGTCTCCTTTTTTCTAAGATGAAAAGTCCAAGTCCTTTTAATCTCTCTTCATATGGGACCCGTTCCAAACCCCTAATAATTTTAGTTGCCCTTTTCTGAACTTTTTCTAATGCCAGTATATCTTTTTTGAGATGAGAAGACCACATCTGTACTCAGTATTCAAGATGTGGGTGTACCATGGTTTTATATAGAGACAATAGGTTATTCTCTGTCTTATTCTCTATCCCTTTTTAAATGATTCCTAACATCCTGTTTGCTTTTTTGACTGCCGCTGCACGCTGCGTGGACATCTTCAGAGAACTATCCATGATGACGCCAAGATCTCTTTCCTGTTTAGTTGTAGCTAAATTAGCCCCCATCATATTATATGTATAGATGGGGTTATTTTTTCCAATGTGCATTACTTTACATTTATCCACATTAAATTTCATTTGCCATTTTGTTGCCCAATCATTTAGTTTTTTGTGGGATCTTTTTGAAGTTCTTCACAGTCTGCTTTGGTCTCAACCATCTTGAGCAGTTTAGTATAGTCTCCAAACTTTGCAACCTCACTGTTTATCCCTTTCTCCAGATCATTTATGGATAAGTTGAATAGGATTATAGTCCTAGGACTGACCCTTTCAAAATACTTTTTAACTATCTAGTTCTCTCTCCCTTTACACCTATATATGTGTCATCTAGTATTGCTGGCAACTCCAGTCCTACAAGTAATTCCTGTTTCTCTTCCTCTTATGTAGCAGTGACACGTTACAGAATATTTGTCACTAATGGTAAAGGCAATAACACAACATCCTATTTTGCATGAACAAAAAGAAAGAGTTAAAATCTTTAACTGGTGTGTGTGAAAACATCATCATCAGCCTTTTATCCTGGTTTTACCCTCTGTTCCTAACTGTTATTCCATAATTCATCTTGCATTCTTCTACATCACGTCCTAAACAATGAACCCTTCTGTCACGTTATTAGATTGAGGGGGGAGCAGCCGGGTCCCTGCTGCCCCCGTGGGGGGGGGGAGGTGTTTGCCCCAAAAGTGGTATAAAGGGGGCCATGTGAGGGGACAAACAAAAGCTTACTTTCTTCTGATTCTGTATCTGCTCTTCATATATCTGTATAATGTCTATGCGTGTAGTTAGGAATCTGTAACCTGTATGGAGACTGGAAGTCTCTCTGAATGTGGTTGAGCATTGGGCAGAGCCTGGCCTATGGACATGCTAATTAGCAAGGCCCTGTGGGACAATAGCACTCAAGGGGCCAAGGACACACCTCGGGAATGGTGACCGACACATAAGGGCTAACAGCAGGGAACACAGTGATAGGCCGCTGGCCAGGTGACCTGCTGCAGCCAAGAAGAGAGCAGGAAGGATGTATAAAGATGCCATGTGGCTGACTCCATCTTGGTACTCACCTCAGCAATTTATCCCAGAGGCAGCAATGCAGGGATCGAAGAGCCGGAAAGAACTGTGGACCCATCCTAATCCTAAGATGCGCAACAAGAACTTTCAAGCCAGCAGCTGTAACATCTCTGCTAGAGACTGCATCGAGAGCTGGGAGATTCGATGCATGTAATGTACTATCCTTTAACAATCTTACTCTCATGCTTTTCTTTATTGTAGTAATAAACCTTTAGATGTTAGATGCTAAAGGATTGGCTCAGCGTGATTTGTGGGTAGGATCCAGAGGGTAAATTGACCAGGGATCTGTGGCTGGTTTCTTGGAACCAGACAGAACTTGTTCGGAGTAGGTGGGATTGAGTTCTAAGACCCTCCCACCGGTGTATGAGGCCCGGGCCATCTGGGGCACGGATATTGCTGGGATGTCGGAGGGGTTTTGCTCATGAGGCTTCAGGCAGGCTGAAGCGCTCTGTGGGACTGGTTTGTGGCCTGTTTGGGAAGGTCACTAGTCTGGGGGCTGTAAGGAGCCCCGAATTTGAGCAATTCGCCCTGAGCGGATGCCCTCAGCTGTGCCCAGACTCGACCCAGTCCGTCATACCTTCAGGCAGGAAGATATCTCAATTTGAAAAGCTCCATCCAAGTTTTCAAGCCCTATCATATATTAATGGTTGTAAGAGATTCAATTGGTACAAACATGCCAGCTATGTGAACTGCATCAGAATGATTAATTACTGTACCTTTGTCTCTCTGTTCTTGGTTTCACATGAATCCCCTTCTCTCATCCACATGCCAACAAATGTGTTGTTATAAATTTCCCATTCATGCCAGATACTGGAAAAAGAGAACAACACAAAAATCTTGTTTTAGTTTTGGGAGAAAAATTAAAAACCTTGTAAGAAAAACAGAAATACTCTAACACTGTACTAAACTTCACTTTCTCCATTTCAATTTTTTGAAGGTCCTTTAATATCTTCTTTTCTTATTGCCCAGATCTGCCCCATCACAGGTCAATTGCCTCAAAACCACAGTGGAGTTCTTTAATTGTTTAGAGAGTCTTCATCTCAGTAGTTTCAGAGCACTATGGTTCTTCTGACATATCTCAAAACAATTCCACACTTCCTTAACCAAATAAAACTCTTCAGTTTTATTGAGACATGCCTGTAATTTCTGTCAGGAAGGACAGACAGGGAAAAAAGGGAGGAGGGGTTGCCTTGTATATTAAAAATGTACACACTTGGACTGAAGTGGAGATGAACGTAGGAGATAGCTGTGTAGAGAGTCTCTGGGTTAAGCTAAAAGGGGTAAAAAACGAGGGTGATATCATGCTAGGAGTCTACTACAGGCCACCTAGCCAGGTGGAAGAGGTGGATGAGGCCTTTTTTAAACAATTAACAAAACTATCCAAAGCCCAAGATTTGGTGGTGATGGGGGACTTCAACTATCCAGACATATGTTGGGAAACTAACACAGCGAGGCACAGGCTATCCAATAAGTTTCTGGACTGCATTGGAGACAACTTTCTGTTTCAGAAGGTTGAAAAAGCTACCAGAGGAGAAGCTGTTCTGGATTTGGTTTTAACAAATAGGGAGGAACTAGTTGAGAACTTGAAAGTGGAAGACAGTATAGGGGACAGTGATCATGAAATAATAGAGTTCATGATCTTAAGGAAAGGTAGAAGGGAGACCAGCACAATTGAGGTTATGGATTTCAGGAAGGCAGATTTTGATAAGCTCAGAGAACTTGTAGGTAAGGTCCCATGGGAAGCAAGACTGAAGGGAAAAACAACTGAGGAGAGTTGGAAGTATTTCAAAGGGACGTTGTTAAGGGCCCAAAAGCAAACAATTCCGCTGTGTAGGAAAGATAGAAAATATGGCAAAAGACCAGCTTGGCTTAACAAGGAGATCTTGCATGATCTCAAAATAAAAAAGGAGTCATATAAAAAATGGAAACTAGGACAACTAACAAAGGATGAATATAGGCAAGCAACACGGGAATGCAGGGGCAAGATTAGAAAGGCAAAGGCACAAAATGAGATCAAACTAGCTACAGGCATAAAGGGAAACAAGAAGACCTTTTATAAATACATTAAAAGCAAGAGGAAGACCAAGGACAGGGTAGGCCCACTGCTTAGTGAGGAGGGAGAAGCAGTAACAGGGAACTTGGAAATGGCGGAGATGCTCAATGACTTCTTTGTTTCGGTCTTCACCGAGAAGTCTGGAGGTGTGCCTAACGTAGTGAATACAAGCAGAGAGAGGGTAAGTTTAGAAGATAGGATACACAAAGAACAAGTTAAAAATCACTTAGGAAAGTTAGATGTCAGCAAGTCACCAGGTCCTGATGAAATGCATCCCAGGATACTCAAGGAGCTGATAGAGGAGGTATCTGAGCCTTTAGCTATGATCTTTGAAAAATCATGGCAGACAGGGGAGATTCCAGAAGACTGGAAAAGGGCAAATATTGTGCCCATCTATAAAAAGGGGAATAAGAACAACCCAGGAAATTATAGACCGGTCAGTTTAACGTCTGTCCCAGGGAAGATAATGGAGCAGGTAATTAAGGAAATCATATGCAAACACTTGGAAGGTAATAAAGTGATAGGGAATAGCCAGCATGGGTTTGTGAAGAACAAGTCATGCCAAACTAATCTGATAGCTTTCTTTGATAAGATAACGAGCCTTGTGGATAAGGGAGAAGCGGTGGATGTCATATACCTAGACTTTAGTAAGGCATTTGATACGGTCTCGCATGATATTCTTATTGATAAACTAGGCAAATATAACTTAGATAGGGCCACGATAAGGTGGGTGCATAATTGGCTGGATAACCGTAGTCAGAGAGTTGTTGTTAACGGTTCTAAATCCTGCTGGAAAGGGATAACAAGTGGAGTTCCTCAAGGGTCTGTTTTGGGACCCGTACTGTTCAATATCTTCATCAATGATGTAGATATTGGGATAGAGAGTACTCTTATTAAGTTTGCAGATGATACCAAACTGGGTGGGGTTGCAACTTCTTTGGAGGATAGGGACATAATTCAAAATGACCTTAGCAAGTTAGAGAAATGGTCGGAGGTAAACAGGATGAGGTTTAATAAGGAGAAATGCAGAGTGCTCCACTTAGGAAGGAACAATCAGTTCCATACATACAAGATGGGAAGCGACTGTCTAGGAAGGAGCATGGCGGAAAGGGATCTAGGGGTCATAGTGGACCACAAGTTGAATATGAGTCAACAGTGTGATGCTGTTGCAAAAAAAGCAAATATGATTCTAGGTTGTATTAACAGGTGTGTTGTAAGCAAAACTCGTGAAGTCATTCTGCCGCTCTACTCTGCGCTAGTTAGGCCTCAGCTGGAGTACTGTGTCCAGTTCTGGGCGCCACATTTCAAGAAAGATGTGGAGAAATTGGAAAGGGTACAGAGAAGAGCGACAAGAATGATTAAAGGTCTAGAGAACATGACCTATGAAGCCAGGCTTCATGAACTGGGCTTGTTTAGTTTGGAAAAACGAAGATTAAGGGGGGACATGATAGTGGTTTTCAAATATCTAAAAGGGTGTCACAAGGAGGAAGGAGAAAATTTGTTTCTCTTGGTTTCTGAGGACAGGACAAGGAGTAATGGGCTTAAAGTGCAGCAGGGGAGGTTTAGATTGGACATTAGGAAAACATTCCTAACTGTCAGGGTGGTCAAATATTGGAATAAATTGCCAAGGGAGGTGGTGGAATCTCCCTCTCTGGAGATATTTAAGAACAGGTTAGATAGACATCTGTCAGGGATGGTGTAGACGGAGCTTGGTCCTGCCTTGAGGGCGGGGGGCTGGACTCGATGACCTCTCGAGGTCCCTTCCAGTCCTATGATTCTATGAGGAAGGGTTTAATTTTGTCATCACTAGTTTGTTTGAAAGAGGTGTTACCAAATTTCAATCTCCTCAATTGCTCAGAATGCAAAGTAAGCCCATTCAATCAGCAGATGGGTAAAACAAAAATACAAAAAAAATGCTTGTTCTTCAGAACTTGTCAGTGATGAGAAGAATTTATTGATATATTTCTGGAAAGTGACCTATTCCCATTTAAAAAGAAATATTTCCTGTTAGACCATAAAACTCATGATATTCATAAGAGTGCCATGGTGGTCTCACAATCAACTAAGAGTAGGGGCCAAGAACAGAATCCTGACTCAGAGGGATAGTCTGCACAAAATTTTTCACACTAACTTTTGTTTTTGAATTAAAATGCCCAGGGTAGATACAACACAATTATCTCTTATTAAATAACCAATTATTGCAAATTGGGTAATTCACTTTGAAAGTGGATTATGTTCATTCCAGAATGAATTAGCACAGAAAAAGGTTTATGAGGATGTATCTGTGTTTCACACTGACTTGGAAATCTTCCTGTTGCTATCCCACACTGCATTGCATCACACCACATGAGGAATAAGTTGTTTACCGGTGTTGGCATGTTGGCAGGTCTCCTAATGCCCCATACATCAGCATTACAACACTTTTATTGCAATCATGCCACGTGCATCTGCATGAAACCATGATGAGATTAAGGACTCTCTCCTCATCTTGGGAGAGAAGACAAGTAGGCCTGCCTTTACAACAGCCACTGTAAGGTCATTAGAAAAGTTACTTCACCTCTATTCTTCTGTTTCCCACCTATACAATCGGGATAATACTGCTTCACAGAAGTACCCTGACAAATAACATTTGTTCAGCTCTTTAAGAATGTACAGTAAAAGACGATAGTCCATAAACCTCAGTCTGCCCCATTCACTCCTTTTGCTTAATTTACTGAAAAAGGCATGGAAATAAAACCATACAAAAATTGTGGGGCTAATAAATGAACACGACTTCAATTTTCAATCACTTTGGCTTTACATAGCTCTGGGGGTGGGGGCGTCTGTATATCTTCAAAAATATATAATCTATAGGGTGCCTATCAAACTTCTGAAGATCATAAATGCAGAAAACTACAATACTATTGTTATACTAGCCAATTAGCCCGTCATAAGACAAGATTTTCAGGTCTCTCCTCCACGTTGATCTTCTCTCCTGAGCCTCCAGTCTCTTGCTCCATGTCTCTTTCTCTCTCTCTCCTCCTCCTTCTGCCTTCCCCCCCCCTCTCTCTCAGCTCTCCTCCACCTCCTGCCTCTTTCTCCGTCTCTCTCTTTCTCGTCTCCTCCCCCTCCTGCCTCTCACTCGGGGGACTGTGGAGCCCAAACAGTCGCTTGTGCCAGTTGCTACCGCGCGGCAGCCTGGCTGAGCAACGCAGAAGTCAGCCGAGCGCCACTACAGGAGGCGAAGGGGGCAGGGCCTGGAGCCGCTGTCACGCCACATGCCCCTGCCCCCCCCCCCTTCGCCTCACGCCATGGCTCTCGGCTGACTTCTGCACCGCTCAGCCAGGCCTCCGTGGGGGAGCAAGCGGCATAAGTGGCCGTTTGGGCCCCACGCTCCCCATGCAGCACAGGGGTGCTGCATGGGGACCGCGGCGCCCAAACGGCTGCTTGCGCCACTCGCTCCCCCGCGGCGGCCCAGCAGAGTGGAGCAGAAGTCAGCCGAGCGCCACGGCAGGAGGCAACAGCGCTGCCCAGAGGGAACAGCCAGCTTTTCAGCACTACAGAGTCACAGACATTGGGTTACTATATATATATAATGATAATGATAATGATAATGCAAGCTCTTGCATTTTAGGATGCAGCACCAAATTCAGAATGCACTGCTATCTCCAAGAAATAGATTCTCTATATCCTGGAGTTTGAAGGCATTTACAGAACAACTTAGAGGACCTATAGACACTAAATTTTTCAAATTATGTAATTTGAGTAGAAAGAATAATCCCACACTTAAAAATACTCAGCTTTCATTATCAAATATATAAAATCATTATTTTTGTTTCTCAATCCAAAAAAATCCTTTATGAAGTCAACAAGTAGTCCTGTGGCACCTTAGAGTCTAACAAAAAAAAATATATAGCATCATAAGCTTTTATTGCTTTTCTCTGGACTGTTTCCAATTTGTCCACCTCTTCCTGAAATGTAACATCCAGAACTGAACACAATACTCCATCTGAGGCCTAATCAGTGCAGAGGAACAATTACATCTCATATCTTACTTCTAACACTCTTGCTAGCACATTCCAGATGGTCACTTTACTGCAACACTATTACACTCATATTTAGCTGGTGGTCCACTATAATCCCTACATCCCTTTCCACAATACTTCTTCGTAGGCAGTCATTTCCCATTATGTGGAAAAACTGGAAATAGTCCAGAGAAGAACAACAAAAATGATTACAGATCTAGAAAACATGAGCTATGAAGGAAGATTAAAAGAATTGGGTTTGTTTAGTCTGGAAAAGAGAAGACTGATAACTTTCAAGTACCTACAAGGTTGTTACAATGTGAAGGGACAACAATTATTATTCTTAACCTCTGAGAATAGGGCAACAAGCAATGGGATTTAAACTGCAGAAAGGGAGGTTTAGGTTGGATATTAGGAAAAACTTTTTAACTGTTAGTGTGGTTAAACACTGGAATAAATTCCCTTGGGAGGTTGTGGAATCTCCATCATTAGAGATTTTTAAGAGCAGATCAGACAAACACATGTCAGAATGGTCTAGATCAGGGGTTGCAAACTTTTCAAACCAAAGAGCCAAACTACATCAAAATTCAGAACTGGTCAACAAAGAGTCGTATAAGAATGCCCATTTGCATGACTGAAAATATAAAACTTAATATTATTGATATATGAAATAATGATTAATAGCATAAATAAAACATTGTACTCACAGACTATTTAATGGGATTTCTGTTGCTGCATGCTTACGCACATTGCTTTGACGTTTACATCATAATTGGTCAAATCCAGCTTCATGCACAGATTTGGGCTGTCTTCTGTCAATGTTATGGCAGTGGACTGGGGATGTAGGGGTGTAGGAGTGTTATAGCAGGGGACTGGGAATACAGGACTCTGGGTCTGGGTGTGAGAGGGGCTCAGGGCAGGGGATTTGGGTGTATGATGGGCTCAGAGCACAGGGCTGGGGTGTGTGGGGGTGCAGGAGTGTTACGGCAGGGGACTGGGTCTGTGGGGTGCAGGAATCTGGGGATGTGGGGGAGTATGAGGGGCTCAGGCAGGGATTCAGGTGTATGATGGGCTCAAGGTTGGAGTGTGGCGGTGTGTGGGTGCAGAAGTGTTATGACACTGTGGCCAGATGGGGGCTGGGCCCTAACTGGGGGCTTGCTGGCCAGGCTTCATTTTTAAATAAAGTAAAATATTACGTTCAATACAAAAGTTTCAACACTGTCTTTATTTATGGTGGGGGTGGGAACCTTTTTGGAGTTGGGGGCCACTGACCCACAGAAATATCTGTTGGGGACCATGCAAGTGAGAAGGAAACAAAAAACCCTTCCACTACTACAACCCCTCCCCAAATCCTCACTGATGTGGCCCCCAATTGAGGGGTGCTCCAGACCCATGGTGGAGAGAGGAGCAGGGAGGACTGAGGTTCAAGGCCTCAGGCCAGATTTACTCTTTTGGGGTTCCACGGTTAGTGGATTTTGTGGGGCCCCCCCTCCCCAAACACTGGAGTGGAGCCAGAAATGAGGGATTAAGTGTGAAGGACAGGGCTGCCAGTAAGTGGGCTAGGGATGGGGGTGCAGGATCTGAGCAGAAGGTAAGAAGCAGGCTGGGAATAGAGTATATGGCTAGGGGGAAGGTGAAGAGCAGGAAGGGGTAGGTGTCTGACCAGAGCCAGAGGGGGAGAGGCAAGACCAGGCTAGAGGTATGTGTGTGGCTGAGGGCAGGAGTGGGCTGGAGGCAGGGTGTCTGGCCACAGGGGAGGGTGCAGGAGCAGGCTGGGGGCAGGGTGTCTGGCCGGGTGGGGGAGGGTCTGACCAGGGGGAGCAAGCTAGAAGTGCGGAGTCTTAGTGGAGGAGGAGGTGCATGAGGGGGTTCGGGCTGCCAGGTCTGGGCATGAGGAGCTGGGGCAGTTACTTGTTTTTTTGCATCGTGTACCACTCCCAGGCACTGAAGGCTTTCCCTGCTGCTTGCATTCAAGCACGTCTGTGCACTGCTGTTCCCCCAGAAGGGGAAGGGGAGCAGTAGCATGCATAGCTATTTCTGGCTCTGCTACCCCACAAGCCAGATTTTGCAGAGAGGCTCAGGATTTTTCCTCCTCTCCTCCGCAGGAATCCAGCACTGGTGCTCTAATCTCACAGGGGGCTGCAAGGCTAGAGCACCAGCGCAGACTCCTGCTATGAGGGAGCAAGGGGAGGCTGAGCTTCAAAAGAGCCATATCTGGCTCTCTAGTGAGCCACATTTGGCTCATGAGCCATAAGTTGCCAACCTCTGGTCTAGATGGTTCTTGGTCCTGCCATGAATGCAGTGGACTGGACTTGATGACCTCTTGAAGTCCCTTCCAGTTCTATGATTCTAACAGTTCTGTTACTCTCCCAGTTTCCAGACAAATCTAATCATACAGTGGTTCTGGGGCTTCGCAGCTTAAAGACTTATATCTCCTGCATAGGCTCCCTACTGCTGTCTAGAATCCACTGCAGTTCAGCTAGCTTGTAGGATTCTCAATAATGCCTACAAGAGTGACTACAAACTAATTTCTGCCACTGACTGGTTCTAAGGGCCACTGTATTTCTGGGTGTAACCTCCTCCTTTCAGACTGACTTTCTGACTCCTACATGCAAGAGCGATGAGAAGTCAGATTCAGACTAACATGGCTACCCTTCTGCTACTTGTAAGGAAGACCAGCTCTTTCCTGCAAGCAAACTTTGGCTAATGTAAATAGTGGCTGAATGCTCATTTTGTGCTTCTTGTAGAAATAGTTGACAATCATTTCTAGTCTGTTTCTGGATTAAATGTAGGGTTTAATTTTGAACTATAAAGCCCTTAATGGTTTTGGACCTGGCTACATCAACCTGCAAGCCCTTTTGTGTAATGCTACTAGACCTACAATTAGCTAAGCCATTCAATATAAGAACAGGTGGTTTAAATGAAAAGTCTAGAAGTACAGCATCTTCAAAGATTGAAATGTATTGCCCTGCTGGTCCAACTCAGACCAAATCTTTTAACCTTTAGGATATATTAAAAGTCTTATTAGCCTTCCCAAGTATTCAAGGGGCTGTGAGATGAGGAACACTGTATTTTAGTGGAAAGGAAAGATATGGAAAACAATTTTTGTTTTATTAGAATATGCAATAAACAACTATAATGCCTCCATTTTGTAGTTATATTAGTCCTGCCTTTAGACTTTTTATTTAGTGTTTTAAGAGTTATGATCCCATATGTGGGATAATTCCCATTCTTGACAATCTCAAGCAGTTGATGTAATGCTGCACATGATCCAGAAATAAGAGGGTTATTAGAAAGAATGTTTACCTGTAGAATCTTCTCTCACATTTTACTCGACATATATTAAGACCAACTAGGATTTCCAAATTCTGGATTTTCATGACAGAGAGATACCATCCACAAGATGGTTCAGGGCAGCCACCCTAAGCCCTGTGCTTTAGGGGGTCCCCACGGCAGCCACCTCAACCATCCTGGCATTTTTAAGTTTAAAGCAATAGCCACTAAAATTGTACTTTCATCATTAACTGTAAAGTAACAAGAACAGCAGCAGCTAGATGAGGCCTACTGTTGAAAAATGTCAGATTGATTTATTTTATGTATTCTTAAATTAAGTCTAAAGAATAAAATGTCAGTCAAACAAGGACTCATTAATTATTAAAATACATAGTAAAGAGCCTCATTTACTAAAAGTCCATGATTTGGCTATCAGAAGAGGTATAACAAGATATATTTTGCAGTAATATTCACCTAAATTGTGCCCTCAGGTACAAACTTACAGCCTCATCAACTGCTGGAGGATAGTGGCATTGATGTAACTGAAAGCAGTTTAGGGAATAGAGTTTGAATCTAATGTCAAGGGTAGTTAATTTCTAAGGTAATGTAACTATACCTGATTTTAAAAGTGCAGATTTTGAAAGCTCTACAAAGAAAGTAACTCAAACTAAAGTAAAAAAGAAAAGTCTGGATTTCTCACCCTAAAATCCCACTGTAGGCATTCCACCGAAACGTTTGCTCGTGCTGAGTGACATTATGGAAAGGACAGAACTCATATTTATACCTAAAGAAACAAAATGTTTCAGATTTAAAAATAAAGGCCTATATCACCTCCAATCTTAAAAATATAGTCAGGCATCTAAACCAGGAACTCACGTAGATTCCACAAAACTGAAACACTTTCCAGCAAGACTAAAGAGATGTGCAGGACCTGAAAATAAAATGAAATAATTTGAAAAGGCTAATGAGTTGGTTACATTTAAAGAGAGTTATCATGAGCACAGAATTGTACGTGTACATGTTGCAGATTTAATTTTCTACAGAGTATATGGCAATCAGCACCCAAGACAACTAAGGTACCTCGATATCATAGAATCTTTGTGCCTCAATCTTTAATATATTTTTCCTTCAATCACCCTGTGAAGTCAGAAACACTGTTGTCCCAATTTTAGAGACTGAGAACCGAGTCATAGACTCACACAGGCAAACAATTTTTACTACGTTATATACTATAAAAGTCATAAGTATTAACTGGTAGCATTTCCTGGGATCTGTGAAATTCAGAAAATACATTATTCTTCCACAAGGCTGAGAGGCATTTTCACGACTGGGTTAAAGAACGTGTACATATTATATTGTGGCAAGTGCTTCTGCCAAAGATTTTCTTACTATTAGACAACTGCAATCAAAGATTATACTCTCTCTCTCCTTTAGAGATGATAGCATAAAAATGGTAAATAACTACAAACATAATAACTGATATTTGCACAAACCTGATGGTGGGGAAGGTGGCATCTTTGGAAGGAGCCTGTTTGGCTGAGGTAGGAATGGATTGTTCAATCTTTTAAAAAAAGAAAAAAAAAAAGAATCCATTTGCAATGAGCTTAAATTAGAACAACGCTTTTCACATTTCATTGCACAGCAAACCCTATCTGACAAAAATTATTATGACTCAAGAAGGGGAGGACTGAAGCCTAAACTGTCCATGCCCTACCACCAGAGCTATCCCATCCATAAGATGGTTTGGGATGGCGCCCCATGCTCTAGGGAGGGTGCCTCAACTGTCCTATGCATGGGACAAGTCACCCATAGTAATGCTAGCCACAGGGCCCAGGGTAGGAATGTAAACAACTAGTTGACTACCCGATAAACAAATGCTTATTGGTTAGTTGAGTAGGAACTCAACTAGTCTTCCCCCCCCCACACACACCATCACTTGCTGCCTCTGTCAGAGAGAGGCGACAATGGGGGGAGCAGGAGCCAGTACTTGGAGGAAGCCAGCTGAAAAACTGGTTCCCCGTAGCACCATCTCCGCATGGAAAAGGGGAGGCAGAGAGTAGCAGGGAAACAGCGCAAGTGGGGACTGACACAGTCCTGCTCGCACTGGTCCCGAGTGCCGCTCCTCTCCTTTTGATATACAAGAACTATCTGCAACTCTTGTACATTTCAAAGGAAGAGGCACAGAGGGGAACCTGCGCCAGCAGGGACTGCTTTGGACCCCACTGGCACTCCCTTTGAAATGTACAAGAGCCACGGAAACCCGCTGCATCTCTCCCTTTGAAACGTACAGGAGCCGAAAGCAGCTCCTGTACATTTCAAAGGGAGGGGGCACAGCAGGATAGAGTGCTTCCCTTATCAACTAATCGAGTTGTCAATGGAAATGCCATTGACTACTCGATTAGTTGATTAATCAAAATTTAACATCCCTAGCCCAGGGTAGCAGGGAGGATTGCCTGTGGGGCCTAACATAGGATAGTAGCAGGTGTCAGGCCCCTCCACTCATGGTAACAGCAGGAGCCACGGGAAGTGAAGTGACTCAGCAGTCTGCTCTGTTCCAAATCCATCTCCCTTACATCAGAACCTGGAAATCTCAGGCTCTTCTTGCAGACATTATCATTACCGGGAATACTGTCTTCTGACACAAAAGCAGAAAGGGACAAGATGCCAGGGGCTCAAACAAAGGTCCCATCAAAACCCACAAGACCATGTTAAGGTTCCACAGAAAAACCGGTTCTCGGACTAGATGATGGAGAAGCAGCCACCCTTTCAAGAATCTTGCTTCATGGCATTAGATAAGACTGATATTTTCTGAATGGGGAGATGAAACACTGACATCACAGCCAGATGCACTCTCAATGAGCTAAGAACAAGGCCTGACATCTGAACATGCAGCCAGTACTCTAGGACAGAAGCTGGCACTGGCTGAAGTCTGCTGGCCAATGACCACACTGAAATCACTTCCAGTTTGCTAAGTATGCCATTCTGATAGAAGACTTCCTAATGTTGAATAGACCCCATTGAACAGCCACTGAAAACCACTCATCCTCAGTTAGCCATGCCATGAGATATAGGAAGGTGACAGCAGAATGTAGAGTGTGACAACAATTCCACGTAAGTAGTTCGGGATGGAGCGAAGAAGAGGCTGATTTGATAGTGCAAGAAGGTGAGAGAACCAGCACTGCCTTGGCCATACAAAGGCAATGAGAATGAGTTTCCCCCAAAACTTCTTCTTGAAGATTATCTGTGGGATGACCAGGACTGGTGGGGGAAGCATAAAGGAGAGCCGACTGCCAGCTGAGATGGGCAGACTGAGGACCTCTTAAGAACCGAAGACAACATTTTCTATTGTCCCCTGCACCAAATAGGTTGATTGTCAAAATTTTCCAAGCTGCAAAGATCACAGAATCATAGGACTGAAAGGTACCTTGAGAGGCAGGTTATTTAGTGCAGATACTGGCACTCATGGCAGGACCAAGCACCATCTAGACCATCCTGGATAAATGTTTGTCTAACCTGCTCTTAAAAATCTCCAATGATGGAGATTCCACGACTTCCCTAGGCATTTATTCCAGTGTTTAACCACACTAAAAGTTAGGACATTTTTTCTAACGTCCAACCTAAACCTCCTGTGCTGCAATTTAATTCCATTGCTTCTTGTCCTACTCTCAAAGGTTACAAAGAATAATTTTTGTCGCTCCTCCTTTTAAATATTTTAAAGTTACCAATCTTCTCTTTTCCAGACTAAACAAACCCATTTCTTTCAATCTTCCCTCATAGGTCATGTTTTCTATAGCTTTAATGATTTTTGTTGCTCTTCTCTGGATTATTTCCAATTTTTCCACATCTTTCCTGAACTGTGGTACCCAAAACTAGAGACAGTATTCCAGTTGAGGTCTAACTAGCACAAAATAGAGCAGAATTATTTCTCGTGTCTTGCTTTCAACTCTCTTGTTGATACATTTCAGAATGACGTTTGCTTTTCATGCGAGACCGAAAGAAATGCATGACTAAAATCTAGGTACACTGCGTCTACATCTTCCCCCTTACCCACAAGACTTCTAATTCCATCAAAGAAAGCTATCAAGTTGGTTTAACAGGATTTGTTTTTGATAAATCCATGCTATTACTTTATCACCTTATTAACTTCCAAATATTTGCAAATGCATTCCTTATTTGCTAAATTATCTTTCCTAGCACAGAAGTTAGGTTTACAGGTCTGTAGTATCCTGGGTTGTCCTTGTTTCACTTTTTATAGCTGGACATTGTAATTGCCCCTTTCCAGTCTTCAGGAATCTCTTACATCTTCCATGACTTTTCAAAGATAATAGCTCAGATATTTCCTCAGTCAGTTCCTTGAGTATTCTAAGGAATCCTGGTGACCAAAAGACATCTAACTTGTGTAAGGCTATGTCTACACTGGAAAAAGCTGGTAACAAAAATACTGTCAATATTCATAAGTGGCAAAAAAGAAAGTCACCAAGTCATGTTTACACTGCCACCCTCTGTAGACAGATCATAGCCACATTGTTAGTTCCCCTGTTGTCAGAAAGAGCAAAGCAATTTGGGTAAGCATCCCACAGTGCATGGCGACCTTCAGTCACTAGGCACTGTGGAAATGCATAACACAGCACTAGGAATTTTGGGAATGTGAAAAAGGTCCCATCAGCCACCTTTTTGCTTCCCAGCCCTCCTGGGGCTTCTGGCTTTCATTCAAATGATATGAAAGTCAGTTCTTGCTGAGCACTCTAGCATCTGCTGTGAGAAACATGGATCTCAGACTTCCCTCCCATGCACTGGCCATTGTAGCAGAGCTAATTGTACACTTAGTGTCACAGGAAGAAGACTCAGATGTGGACAACAGTGTGAGTGACAGGGACAACAGCAACTTGGCATGGCATTTGGCTGTTACAGAGCAGCTGTGCAGAGTACAGCATCACTTTTGGACTAGGGAAACTAGCACCGAGTGGTGGGATAGCATTGTCATGCAGGTGTGGGATGAAGACCAGTGGCTACAGAACTTTAGGATGCTTAAAACAACCTTCCTGTACCAGCGTGATGACCTGGCCCCTGAACTGTGGTGCCAAGGGCACCCAAATGAGCGTGGTAGAGAAGCGGGTTGCCATTGCTTTGTAGAAGCTGGCCACTTCCAATTGCTACCGTTCAGCAAATCAGCTCGGAGTGGGGAAGTCTTCTGTCAGGGCAGCTCTTTTGCAAGTGTGCAGGGCAATAAATCATACTTTGCTGCAAAGCTTCTGTGCCTCATCCCAAGGCTCATCCTGAACGAGGCATTCCTATGAAACTAAGGTATATAGGCCTCTCCAGTTACCAGAGCAATTGGTCTGGGTTGTGTCACACAAAACCAAATCATAGAAACCTGCCTCATTTGTTTTTATTGATGCCTTTCAATCATGGTCATATACAGAGTGGATATTCGATGGTAAAGAGTTATTGGAAAACTACACAATTATGTTAATGGACCAGCTGTCGAAGACACAACTCCTGTGATGAGGAGTGGAGTGTGCTAGGAAAAAAACCAATACCTGACAGTGAAAATGAGCATGTGAGCATAGAGGAAGAGTTGCTGTGAAAAGAATTCTGCATGTGCTGACATGGAGGCCTTTGGCTCTGTTCACTCTTCATACTGAGAAGACACTTCAGGATCTCATTTTGGTCCTCCATGAGCTTTAGCATGCACTCAGTGGCTTCTGTTCTGACTTTCATCTCCCTGACCCTCCTTTACTCCCTTTTCTGTGTTTGAAGTGTTGAATGCTGCAAAACCTCCTTGACTAGATCTTCTCTCGTCTTCTGAGGTTTTTTTTCTTAGTTGAAAAAGAGTCTGTGGGGGAGCATACCTGACTTCTTAAGGACTGGTCTGAAAAAATAACCATTAACAATAGAGTGACTGCACTGTTCCTGATAAAGATTGTAATATTGCACTAACATGCACATCTCTGAACACACTGGCCACTTTTTTCTTACCCAGCAAGATTCTATTGATATCTCTGTGTACATCAATGCTCTGTTTGGACATAATGTATACCCAGGCAGAGCTTAGCCAGCTCACAGAAATAAACTCTTCATTCACCCTGTGCCACTGGTGCCACTCTCCCCCTCTCCCTCCAGCTGCAAAAAAAGCAAATCCCTGCTGATGCCCGCCCCACCTCGACCCCACTACAAAACATAGCAACTTACCACCCCATGCCACTGCCCCCACCCTCCCAGCTGCAGTAGAGCAAGTTACTGCCCCACATGGCCACTATCCACCCACCCCAACCCCTGCGTGCAATAGAGCAACTTACCCTGCAACTCTTCCCTTGCTTCATGCTTCACGTATAGGTGCTAAGACTCCTAGGGCATGAGAACAACAAATTCCTCGCTGCCTGGTGCACAGGTTGGCCCACAATGAACCCCCTCCTCCTTGACCACTTCCATCTCTTCATCAAGAACTTCTGCTTCCAGGTGAAGTCCTGTTTCTGACTCTGTGCCATGGAAAGAATCCACAGGTTCCTTGGGTACGGGCATGGTGTCCCCACCGAGAAGCGTGCCCAGTTCTTTATAAAAATGGCATGTGTTCAGTGCAGCACCAGACTGGTTGCCTCCTTCATCTTCTGGTACAACTGATGGAATTCCTTTATCTTGGCTCTGCATTGCAGGATGTCTTGATCATACACAAAGGGCTGAAGAAACGTTGCACTGATTCATCAAACACTGATACGATCCAGTAGCTCTGGGGTTCTTCAAGAAGGAAAGCGTCTTGAGCGATAGCCACCCGTTTCCTTAAAAAGAGGTTAGAACAGCCCTTTTCCACAGCAGACACCTCTCTTGGCTAGAACAGCCCCCTGCCATTAAGGGTGAGGTTTACCGGTTAATTGGTTAAACCTTCATATCTCTTTCTCTTACTAAGGGCCAAACAGCCACTTCTTTGAGAGAAGCTGACCTACTGCATCCTGTCCTTTAGGAAAACTTTAGACATCTCAAAGAATGGATGCAATTTATTTCATTATCCATTGACACAGGGTCCATCTCACAGCTAATAGCTCCATCCTCATTCCTAGAATTCTATGAGTTATTTTCCAATCTAACCAGTGCTCAGGGTTCTGGATTCAAATTTGGTACTGGTTAGATATGACTTTAGTTCTTAAAGCCAGCTGCCATCACTGTAGAGGGCATGTATGTCTGAACTTGTGCCTTGCAGGCAGATTGTGTAGCTCCCACTTAATTAGAGAAAGCCAGGCTGTGGTTATAGCTCACCGCAAAAAAAAAAAGTGTGATTTTACATCAAGATAATTATTTCAGTATAAAATCCTGGTGGAGGCAAGGCACTGTAGTTTTTATTTTGACTAGCTTGTAGTTTTTATCTTGACATCAACATTAATGCCACAACAGAGCAGTTTCCTCAACTTGCCACATCAAGGCAAAAAGTACCTATCCCTCATTTCCACTAGTATTTTACACTGAAAGAGCTCACTTTATGTAAAAAGCCATATTCTTTGCAGAGAAGACAAAAGCTTGCACAGGGTACATGCCAAAGAAGTTGATAGAAGATGATTATCACAGCTCAACTGCATGTCTATAATATAAGCAAATGTGTCCGGAATACACAAAGAGATAGTAAACTGCTGTCAGCAACAAGAGAAGTTTAGCATAGGGAAGTAGCAGGGCCACGCACCCAAAGGTGTTCGGCTCCTCCACGATTTTCATCTTACCAGCTATCGTAAAGATACCTATAAGAAAAAAGGCATGGTCCGTAGGTAGGAGAGGAAACTCAGTGCAGTAGCAGTCAGCGAGTAGGTGTGAGGGAGGAGCTTCACTGTGGGTATAGTTAGCAGGTGGGTTTGGGGAAAGGAGCTGAACTGGGGGCATAGTCAGTAGGCAGTTGTGTGGGGAGGGGGCATAACTTGGAGCACAACCAGTGGGTGGGTGTGGGGGAAGCAACTTTACTAAAGGGCATAGCCAATAGGCAAGTGTGGGGAAGGGGTCTC